AGCAGATGGGTGTCATATCTGAATCTCTATCAATCTCACTATCATTGTTCATCATTTCCTGAGATCCCACTCTACCCAACTTGTGGGCCCACCCACGCTGTTTCCAGTGACTTTTCCATACAAACATCCTATCTTGGCTCATGCTTCAGACGTTCCGAAAATCTCCCGAAAAAGGAGCATCTGAACTTGTACCTCTTGCTAAGTGACCCCAGGTCTGGACTAGCAGCAGCAGCAGGACTTGATTCACAACTTTTAAGCCCAGCACAAGTAGCAGCCACCTGAAGGTCACTTTGTAGTTCATGCTGGGTGGCCCAGAATAGAACACAGGCAGCAGCTGACGTTGGCCTGCACCTCCCGGGAGGCCTAGAGCCAGCTCACCTGGTGGACAGCTTCAGACCATGTATAAGCACCATCCAACCACCTCCTCAAGTGAAATATCCAGGAGGGTGGCTTGGTGGGCACCACAGCCCTGCTGAAGTAAATCCTGCTCTGAGGGGTGGGCCCCTATATAGCTGATCCTCCAAATGGTCACAGCCACTCCTTACAGCCAATCTGCCTGCAGGTAAATCCCTCCCATTGACTTGCCAAGAGCAATCAAGGCTCAACTCTAACAGAAAGGAGTATACAGCCACACAAGTGGTGTTACCTGAATGCCCAGCTCAGGTGAGCAAGAAGGCTGTGCTACTTGACACCACAAGACTCCTACTACATAAGGCCATGCAACCAAGCCCATGATACATAGCAACTATTCCTAATACATAGAAATAAACATAGGCTGCCAAAATGAGAAAACAAGGAAACATGTCTCAAATGAAAGAACTGAATGAAACTCCAGAAAAAGAGGTAATCAAAATGGAGACAAGCAATTTAGTAGATGCAGAGTTCAAAACACTCATTATAAGGATGCTTAGAACTTAGTAATAACTCCAACAGCATAAAGAAGGACATAGATACCATAAACAGGAACCAATCAGAAATGATGGATACATTATCTTAAATGAAGAATAATGTACAGGGAATCAACAGTAGAATAGATGAAGCTGAGAATCAAATCAGAAATTTGGAATATAAGGAAGCAAAAAATACCCAATTAGAACAACAACAACAAAGAATGAAAAAAATGAAAATAGTTTAGGAGCCTCTGAGACAACTTCAATCATACAAATATTCACATCATGATGGTGCCAGAAAAAATAGAGAGCAAGAAATTGAAAAACTATGTAAAAAATTATAATGATAGAAATCTTCCTTACCTGGTAAAGGAAACAGACATACAAGTCCATGAAGCACAGAGAGTTTCAAATAGATGAACCCAAAGAGGCCCACACCAAGACACATCATAATTAGAATGCCAAAAGTTGAAGACTAAGAGATAATCTTAAAAGCTATTAGAGGAAAGCAAATAGTTACCTGCAAGGGAGTGCCCATCTGACTGTGCAGCTGATTTCTCAAAAGAAATTTTGAAGGCCAGAAGGGAGTGGCAAGAAATATTCAAAGTGATGAAAAGCAATGACTTACAACCACAATTACTCTACCCAGCAAAGCTATCACTTACATTCTAGACAAGAAAAAGCTAAAGGAGCTCATCACCACCAGACAAGTATTAAAAGAAATGTGAGTTTTCTTTAAAAAGAAGAAAAAGAAAATATAAAAATATGAACAGTACGATTGCAATAAATATATATATATCTTTCAACAATGAAATCTAAAAAACAAAATAAATGAACCAGCAGAACTAAAAAAGACTCATAAATACAGAGAACATGTTGATGGTTGCCAGATGGGAGGCAGGTTGGGGCGGATGCATGAAAAAGGTGAGGGCTTAAGAAGTAAAAATTAGCACCCACCACAGATGAGGCCTGGACCCCATGCACCTAAGGAAACAGCAGTGGGACCCTGTACTATGGGCACAAGAAGCCTCTGCTACCACCACAGTGACTCCCTGGGCACAGCTTCAGCTTGGAGAGGGTGCCACCTTGAAAGGTTTAGGAGGTCCTCCTTGGGAGGATGCCCCGGGGAGCGGCAGTGGTCAGGCGCCAAGCCTCGCCACCATTTGAACTCACTTTGGCCTGGGTCCAAAGCCATGTGCACCCTGCCTGGAACCCGTGAGCCCACAGAGGTCACAACTCAGACCCGTACTCCCGTAACAGACACCAGCGGGACCTCTGCACCTGGCATGTACCCAGCCTAAACCCGTGTGCCTCACATGGACCCACCACCACATGACTGCCACAGACCCAGCAGGACTCACGACCCTGCCTTGTACTCACCCACCACCACCAGTATGGTGCAGCCAGTGCTGCCCTAGAACCAGCTGCTCGGCTGCAGCGCCAGGGATCGGGGCAGGAACTAAACTGAAGGCTGGGAGGTGGGTGTGGCCTCCCCTGCCCTGGACCTACTAGAACCGAGGACCTGAGGAGACTGAAGAGGCTGCGGATCTGTGGTGAGACGGAGGCCTGGGACTGAGAGGAGGCCCGAGGGCACTGGCTGTGGAGACGAGTGGGTGCAGCAGGGAAGCCTGGGCTGAGTCCCTGGATAGAGCAGCGCTGGCACCCACCCTCCTGCAGCCTGGGAAGCTCCTCTGACCAGCGGGAAGGGCCGGGCAGTGGAGCTCAGGCCCCGCCTGCACTGGAGGGGCCTGGAGGACACACTTGACACTGAATCTGGGGGCCCCTCTATTTCTGGGAGGAGCTCCTTTGGGTGAGCAGAAAGGGGCTGGACAGTGGCTCACGGAAGGAGGATCAGCCCTGCCCACCTGGAACACAGGGAGGCCCCCTCTTTCCCGGCAAAACAGCTGCTTCTGACCCAACCTGCAGTGACCTGAGGCCAGGGGAGCGGCGGGGGCAGAAAGGCTGTGCCCCTGCAGGTGGCAGAGAGGAGCTGCCAGCAAAGCAGACAGAGCTGAGGCATTAGAAGGAGGGGAGGGGCCTACCACCCCCAAGCTACTGGCACCAACCCCAACACGAGTCTGACCCAACCATCCCAGCCAAAACCAGGCTACCCCTCAGAGCCCAGCTCTATGGGGGAAGGGGACGGGAGTGCAGCTCAGAACAGGGACAATCAAGTTGTGAGACTCAAGGCAGCCCAGCCTCTGGGCTAAGGAGTCCCCGCCCACTGGATACCAGGGGCTTCAACCCCCTCAGGCCTCTATCAGGCTGCCCAGGGCCAGAAAGTGACAGTGACTCACAGTGACCTGCACCAGAGAAGCTTCCAAGGGGCCCAGGATAGACACACCAGGGACCAGACTCAACAATATCAGAGCAAAATCCAGTGAGCTCCACAAATAGCAGACCCAACGGTTTTCCAGTCTGAGTGTGTGCAATTATGATTTTCTATCTGTGTGTGTGAGTGGGTTTTTTATTTCCCCGTTTTTCTTCTTTTTCTTGCATATCCCTAATTTTTCTCTTCACATTGATTCTATTCTAATTTTGTCTATTATTATTATTACTAGAGGCCCAGTGCACAACAATTTGTGCACTCGGGGAAGGGGGGGTCCCTCAGGCCGGCCTATGCCCTCTCGCAGTCTGGGACCCCACAGGGGATGTCCGGCTTGTTTCGTTCCGCCTCCCTCAGCCCGGGCCCAGGTTGATTGTTCCCGCCTCCCTCAGC